TATAACACTGGGATCAAGGATGCGCACTCATCCTATTTGGAAGTTGTCAGCTGAATGTTAACATTCAAATGTCCAGAACTCGAACCAAGTACTGTTCACTTTAAACACCATCGTACTGTCCACTTAGCTACATAAGTTCAGACAATCATCGGCTTGTACAATGAAGGTGAATTTTGATTCCTTTAGTGATTTAAATTTTACGATCGACGTTTAAGATTGTAGTTGATCAGCCGTGACTTTTATCCATTGCGAAGCATGGGCAGTAAGAGTAGAAGATGTTCGTAGGTTGCTAGCATTCAATCATAGATGTCTTAGAAGCATTGCTCGTATATCGTGGGACAACCGAGTAAGCAATGCTATAGTTAGGAAACGAGTACTAGGTAAGCTTGGAAAATCAATATATAAAGTATTGAGACTTCATCAGTTGAGGTGGTTGGGACATGTGTTACGTATGGCCAACCACCGACTGCCTCGACGAGCTATGTTTTGTGGTGTAGGAATAGGTTGGAAGAAAGTTAGGGGCGGCCAGACGAAAACATGCCAGAAATGCATGAAGTCACTGACAAATGGACTGACTCATGTTGGCAGATGCAGACTACCTGGTTGCGGTCCTCTACCACTATTGGATTTGAACTGACAGTTGAGTATCTGTGCCAATGTGGTATGGCAACCTGAACTTATGTATTTATGCATGAAGTTCTACGTTTTAACTTACTGACTGATCTTACAGATCTGAGTATATTAGATTAGACACATTATATGATGTGAAGTGTACACTTTTAAGGAGTTACAAGCAAGAATGAGACAAGTATCTCTTAGAATAGTTCGATCCTATTTTAACTTGACCAATAGATTTCGATCATTAATAGGCAGGACTGGACATATATGACACAGAAATCGGTCATCACCCTAGTGATCAGTCAAGTATAAATACACTGCAGTCATACAAGTGGTTAGCTTTGGTCAATTTAGTTCAGTAATAACCTCTCTAGGCTGTGGAATCGGATGACAAGTGATTGAATCTTACAAGAAGTATAAGTTCCCTCAAGAATGCATGTACACGTTTCTGACGAGCATCAGGTAGTACCAAACCTAAATTCAGCATTTACCGTTGACTACTTCCAGCCATCACCTTACAAGCAATAAATGTCTTTTATTATCCATCGTTTACGCATAGACACTTACTTACATGATATTTACCTCAATCACAGTGAGTAAACAGAGATTATCTCATGAACAACGTCGAGTGTTTAATTCTATGCTAAATGATCTTTCCCTCTCACATACACATACACATATATCTGACATGATAGACTTTTAAAATTGAAGACTAATCGATCAATAAACATGTTTTCAGTGCTATTGTAGTGAAGGAGAACGCAGGTGGGGCAAGCGGATTGTATTTAACGAAAATTACAGAGTTACTCAGTAAAATCGGAAAACCATATCGTAAATCGTTCATTTGCAAAATATCAGTTCATCATATCGAACTGGACTGTTCCTGTTGCAAAACATCAATCCATTGTCATTATTCATGCGTTTCATAAAAAATTCCATTGTTTTCTAACTCTTCCTTTCTTGATCTTCCCCCATCTTCTGCTGCCAGACATTACGTTGACACTCACGTCATATACTACTTATAAGTAGCTCACACCACACTATGATTATCACTGATTAAAGCTGCAATCTGACTAGAAATTATGCATTGAACAACTTGAATTTGTACTTTCTGCGATGAATATTTAACATCACAGTCTAATAACTGTTCGTATAGCGAAATATCTAATCCATATCAAATGAATTTGAAATCTTCATGTAATCACACACACACGTACACACTTTTTTGATTCAAATTTAGTCAGTTCGATCATACGACATATTGATTGATTGACTGTGAACATTGAACAAGGTTGTTATTATTATTCAGTTGAACATTTATAACGCCTATTGGACATTGATTCCATGAATGACGAAAGTAAGCTAGATTCATGGAATTTATACTTGAAACGGTAACATAAAACTGTAATAAGCGTCTACCAGACAATCAAATTACATTTGACGGTGAAGTATTGGAAGATGTCAAAACCTTTAAATAGCTCCTGGACAGCATTATTGATACACAAGGTGGAACTGATGCAAACGTGAAGGCATGGATTAGTAAAACAAGGACACTACTTGTACAACTGACAACTGTTAATCAATATCATAGTTACAATTTTCAGTGTGAACGTCGAAAACTTTCTGTTGTGTGAGGTGGAAACTTGACGAACCAAGAAAGCCATCATCCACACGATACGAGTACTTATTAACGGTTGATTATGCAAGATACTCCCCATCCGCTTCTGCATTCCTCATAATCTCTACCTTTCTCCTTCTAAATTTATCGTACTGAATTATACTTCTCGAATCATATCTTCGCTCCCTAATCTTCTCCATTACTGCTAATACTTCTATTATTGCTATCACTGAACTGACATTTGCGTCTCTGTTCTGATAGGGTATGGCAACCTGAACTGATGTACTTACGTACGAAGTTCTGTGTTATATCTGTCTGTTTCTGTCTGTCATCCGCTGACCAGACACCATGAGTAACAACCTACTGTGGGAGAGAGAAAACCAGATTCTGGCAGAAGAGTAAATTAGGAAAATCACTAAACTGTGTCTCAAGACAAGCGCTCACTTGGAACACTCACGGCTAAAGGAATAGAGGAAAACCAAATAAAATATTACACTGAGAATTGGGAGACAGACGTGAAAAGAACAGACTGCAATTGGATAGAACTGGAATGGAAAGCCCAGGACAGATTAGGTTGGAGAATGCTGACCGGCAGCCTACTCTGTATTATAGGGGACAGACGTTGCAATGATCAAAATCGGATTGCAATGTCGAAAATTTGCTTATATTATACCCATTTAAAAAAATTAATTTTCATGAAAATAAGCAAAGACAGAGTTAAATCAATTTTTGAAAAAAAGGCCCTTAAAAGGGCCACTTGTCGTTCTCTAGTTGGTGAACCTCCAATTTTGTTTTATCCCAATTGGATGTTTGTTATCGTAATTCATCGATGAATTGCGTAACCACACTCTCTCGACCATTTAATTTATTCGATCTAGAGTTTATATGAATCTCAAGAAAAACATAGTCATGTACATTATAGCTACATATATATATATATATATATATATATATATATATATACATAAATATATACATAAATATATACAACGTATCTATAACCTATTTGTGCATTGGGTTTCAGTTTTACACTGGTTTCACTGGAATACATTGCAATCATGTGTAGTAGCTAATCTAGCTGACTAGTAAATATCGACCAAAGTTTACTCAACACATTTTTACACATTTGAAATCATCAATCAATCATTGTTAGACCAGCACCATTAGAAACCTGGAAGCACTGGACGGCCGTTTCGTCCTGGTATGGGACTCATCAGCAGTGCGCACCCACGACTCCTGCTCCTCGCAGGATTCGAACCCGGGACCTTTGGCATTGTAGGCGAACGCCTTACCATCGGACCACTGGGCCGGCATCCAACGGTGTTAATGTCTAACTCTGATTTTCCCTAACTTGTCTATCATTGAATTATTTTTTTTTCCAAATTAATGAGATGTCATGTGAATCACTACTACAAGTCTATTCAATCAGATGAGACTAAAGTTATTGTTTCTGAAAGAAATATTTCATTTCAGTTTGATTTATTGAACCAATGCGATATTTGTTTTACTGAGTATCTCCTTAGACAAGTAACATGTGTATTGAAGATATATTAACTGAATTGAAATTGCATTGTCTACTTGAAAATGATATCTTCAAATCATTTTCTGAGATGGTGACGAAAATTCATAGTTCAGCTAAATGACCGTGATGGAGTTTGATTCTCTGAGCTGAATGTTTTAATTGTGAAGCTTTCATTGTTTGTTTTCTGAACAACATCATTATGAGTATAAACTTCTATCTGAAGTTTATGCTGACGTTGTTGTACAGAAGAACAATGAAAACTCCACAACCAAAACACATCCAGCTCACAGAACGAAACTCCATTACGATATCTTCAAATCATTTTCAAGTTTATCTGTTACAATGAAATGAAACTTTCAACTTGAAAAAAATAGACTGGAATCTATTCTTAATTTCTCTATTTCAGTAATGTATACTTCAGCAGACATGGAAAATGAGATTAAAACTTGCTAATTGGCTTAGTTTAAACTAACTACCTATGAATGATTGACTCGTTAATTGGGATAAAGTGTGAACAAATCCATTAACTAGGTTTTTGTTTACTATGGTCAATCATTACTTTCCCTTAAAGTTATATCATTAAAGGGCCTTAATCTAAAAGATCCTAACAAAATTAAAATACCACCAACCGTTACACTGAGATTTCAGCTCGTCACGTTCCAATCTACCAATTAGGAACTCGTTAGGAATTCGATTATAAGGGTGTGTGTTTGTGTGTGTATGTGCAAAGATTCGACTGGCCAAATCACCAAACTATTACTCTCGTTCTTTATGAACACGTTGATGTGCTCGCATATTCGAACGATCAGCAAAACGTCGACCACATATAGTACATTCATATGGTTTTTCACCTGTATGCGTTCTACGATGTATATCACGAAGCCATGGACGTGAAAAACGTTTACCACAATCTTGACAATAAAATGGTAATGTATGCGTTGCTTCATGTAACCTAAATGTATAAAGATGAGAAAAAAAACAAAGATTGAACACATTGAATATGAATGTTATTCAATGATCAATGCTTATTATAAACTTTTTTTGAAACCATTTATCGATCAATGTTAGACCACCATTAGAAACCTGGAAACACTGGACGGCCGTTTCGTCCTGGTATGGGACTCCACAGCCGTTGAATAGCAGCTCAGTGGTCTAACGGTTGGGGCGTTCGCGCACAATACCGAGGGTCCTGGGTTCGAGTCCTGCGGGCTGCAGGAGTCGTGGGTGGTCACTGCTGTGGAGTCCCATACCAGGACGAAACGGCCGTCTTTCAGTGCTTCCAGGTTTCTAATGGTGGTCTAACATTGATCGATACATGGTTTCAAAAATGTGTAACTTAATAATCTTCACAACCCCTTAATGCATATTATAAACTTGCCAAAGACTCGAAACTCAATCCCGATAGCTACAAGATTCAAATAAGATTATCCTGTATGTGTCATTACTGTTCAATAAATATGTTACATCCAGCATTTTCATGTGTTCTTTCGTTCATTTAGTTTTACATATCATAATGTAATTAGACCAATGATATACACATTATGAAACCAATTAAACCGTCATATGTCAGTGCATCCTATGAAAATGTTAATTTATTATTGATCAGATGTGAAAATTTTTTGACAAATGTTATCATTTGTTCAATAAAATGACTGAATACATGCTTATAAGTTCAGTCAGTCAGCAGCAACGTAGAACTTCGTACGTACGAACGTACGTACATCAGTTCAAGTTGCCACATCACATTGGCAGACAGACGAAATTGTAAAGATTTGGGAGAAAGAATAAGTACCAACAGACTTAATTGAAGGGCGTCTCATCAAGATATCAGAGAAAAGAGATCTTAGCAAGTGTAAGAACTACAGAGGCATACTTCTACTCTTAATAAGAGAGGCAGTTTTAAATAGAGTGTTGTAGAACTGACAAAAATATGCAGTAGACACCCAGATAAGGTTAATTTGATGTAGATATGAAAGAATAGATTGACGAAGTAACCGCAGAATTTTTAGAGCTGAAGAGTATTCACAACTCAAAATAACTGCTTGTCAGCCAACACCAAAGTCACCATTTTTAATATGAATGTCAAAAAAATTCTATTGTATGGAGCGCAAAACATGGGAGATTACAAAAACCATTGTAGTGACTTCACTTTAACGAAGAAAACGTGATTGGTCAAATAGAATCATTCATTATTTAAATCATTTATACCAGTGGTTGTTTTACTGAACTTCTTGTTTTTTCTCACACGTTTTGTACTACACACCTTTCCTGTTGCGCAGTCGCTATCTGGTTTCTGCTGCTCCCTAACCGTCGCTCGTTTTCTCTGGCATGATTTTGGTATTCTTTCTATACCATGAAATCGCCATCAGCTATACTCCTTCATCTGAACTATCTATTTTTCCTTGTTTTTGGTTGACGACAGGACAACGAATAACGACTGGAACGTAATCGGTTTGTAAACATGTTCACAGTTAACCTCGACGCTAACCACTACAGCATTTTCAAAAGGATGCGGGTGTTTATTAACAGTTATCCACACCGAGTATTGAGGATCTGTTGGCCATGACCCATCAATTATAACCTACTGTGGGATTGAACAAACCAACTTCTTTCAGCTGTAGGTGGAGATCACTCAACTGCAACTCAAAGCAAGTCCTCTCGTGGAATCCTTCAGGCCAAAAGAAAAGTGCAAGACCTAAAGAACATATTACGCTGGAAGCTCACATGAAAAGAATGAATTGGGAAGGAAGATCCTATACTCCATTAGAAGTGACAAGATTGAACTAGTCAATATTGATCGATGTGAGTTCAAATTAAGGAATTTGCTGTTATAAGTGGAGGCATGATTATAACTTAGAATAACTCAACAGTATTTCCTTTTCCTCATCTCATTAAAATTCACTATCCAATCATGAACCAATGAAATAACTCACCTTATCGACGATTTCACTGAATACGATTTCCCACAATAACGACAATCATACTGTTGTTGTTGTTGTTCAGTATTAGTTGTTGTTTTAATCACATAATTTACGGATTGTTTCATTTTCAATGTGGATTTCCCATTGAAAATCGATAAATCTAATGGAACTAATTGTTCATTATCAATGAAATATGGATAGTTAGGGATTTGTAGCGTTTGACAGCGTTGTTTATGTTGTTGTTGATTTAAACAAACCATTGGCTTGTTGACTTTTGTTAATGGTGTACAATTTTCAATATTTTGAAGAAACATACTACTACTAATACTACTACTACTAATATTGCTCATCTGAAACCTGTTTGTTTGTGGCGGTGACATTGATAACAATGGCCTTGAAGCTGAAGATGACAATGATGTTGATGAATGAGATAAGATGGAATCAATTGAAAATTTCAATTGTGAATGGTTTTGTTTAAATCGTTGGTTAGTTTTATTAGTTTCAGTTAGACTGTCAATAGTTTTATATCCACTGTCACTGGAATAAGTTTGATTTGTTATGGAGGAGCATGAATCACGTTTAGTTGGTGTTGGGATCGTGTCTACAAAACAAAAAGGTAGGTATATGAGAGCATGATAGATAAAATCATAAGTTGATAGTTTGTGTACAAACATGTAAATGAATCCTAACTAACATCAGATTTATTAAATCTAAGGCTTTCAAGTACTAATAATCTCCTGATGAAAACAAAAGGGATTCAAATGATCTACAGTCAGTTTGTCTAACAAGTGTTTTAAAATGCAATCAAGGATGTTCAATCATTCCTCGAATACGATCGAGGTACGATCAAGGATAAAATAAAAAGTCCGACTTTCCTCACGAAACCTTATTAACTTGTTAGAGAGAGGAACAATATACATTAGTTTCATGTAATGTCGCGATTTGCATAAAAATGTGAGAGCACGAAACTGAATGTCTGAATTTTGTAATCCAACTGACCGATAAGGAGAGGAGTAGGAAAACTCTGTTTATAAGTTAATGATCTATGAGTGGTGGACTTGAGACACTAGCTACTATGAAGTTGCATATCCTACTGATAATTAAAACCCCAATAGACTAGAAATATATAAACTGAATATTCAGAGAGTAGTCTTTTTGAAAAAGCTATCTACTTTTGTCTAGGGACCTAAGACAGAATAATACTAGTTGCCACTGAGTATTTAAGTACTTCAAACACTGGTTTTTGATAGTGTACTTTCTTTCATAGTTCCAAGAGTTATTTCTTGGATTAAATTAAATTTTTTTCCAATGGCGCTCGAGATGAAAATGGAGCCACTAAACTGTGAACAATAAAAGATCAAGGTAAACACTGTATTGTCAACAAGGTGTCAAGTTTCACAATTTAAGATTTTGTCTAAAAGTTATTCGATGCACTCATGACTTGGGAAACTCAGTAGCGTCCTAATATAAATTAACTGTAACATGACATTGTGTCATGTGAGTTCAAATCCAAGGACAAGATATCTAGCTAATTGTCTCCGGAGTTAGAGATTGAAAAATCAAAGGGGCAACTAGTCAAAGTTAAGATACTCGACTTTATATCTACTATCTTCATATCTTATTTATCTTCTCAAATGAAGAATTTACGAGTAAACTTCAGAAAAATTCTACAAGCCAATGAATTATTTCATTTTACTGACCGCGTTAAATTTGAAGTAAGACTCACCACTTCGGTAGCACACAATCTGACTTCGATATTTATGAACAAATCATACTTTGGCGAACCCTATTTGTGCGACGGTGATAATAAGAAGTTTCAATTGGATGAATTTATTTCAGGCAGTCGTTCGTGCAGATAGACATGAGAATGAAAAGAATACAAGCAAAGTGAAGGAAGTGGAGTGGACTAGACGACCGAGCTAACTTAATGCAGTTAAGCCTAACTAAGCAGTTATACAGTGAGACAAGAAAAACCAGACTTGCTATCAGTGAAGTAAGCAGTGCACACTTATACACTGTAATCAAACACAACCAAGTGAATAATTGGTAAGGTAGAAGGACGTTCGAGTAACTTGAGAAGAATGAATCAGTCAATGTATCCAAAGGCTAGGACAATTCCTGCTAGCTCAACATATTAGTCAACACACTACAAGTTGTCAAGCAAACTGAATGAATTTCCAACCTCATCATTAAGAAGTGAAACTTTTTATCTCTACACAATTTTGACATAATCCTTCTGTCGACAAATCTGAACGACAGTCGGATTTAAGGCGAGACCAACTATCTTCCGGCTAGATACAAGTTTTTCAGTATTTTGTCCCGTTTCCTCAGAAAAGCAGCTGAAACTGAAAGCCTTCATTTCATAAACACATGCTCAAGTATTTTCAGTGAGAGCTTTGGATAGATATTTGTGTTTTTTTACACATTTGAAATCACCAATCAATCAATCAATATTAGACCAACATTAGAAGAAACCTGGAAGCACTGAAAGACGGCCGTTTCGTCCTAGTATGGAACACATCAGCAGTGTACATCCACAACTCCTGCCCTCGCAGGATTCGAACCCGGGACCTTCAATATTGTGCACAAACGCCTAACCATTGGACCACTGAGACGGTATACAAAAGATATTTACATATTTATACAGGAAATCAATGTTTACAAAAACTGAATAAAAATACTATCAAGTACACACTTACCATAAGATTGATCAGCCGGTATATTTGTGAATTTCGGTGTTGAGAAATTCCGTAAATAAGACATATTTGTGAATAGTTTTACAAATCCACGTATATTTTTTTAGCTTATCGTTTAATTTTTGTATAAATTAGGGGTAAGCAAATTGTTGAAATTTCCCTATTTATATGCATCTTCTGATTGTCAAGTTATCAGGAAATAACCCTCACACACACACACACTCACATACTTACATACAAACATACAAGTTGTGCGTTAAAATTAACTTGAGTTTTACTCATTTGCCCCTTTCAACCAAAACGAATAAATCAAGTTGAAATAGAGGAAATATAATAATGAGGGAAGGGAAAAAAATCCATCAGTCACACCCATCGATTACGTAATAATAATTTGTGATTTCACATAGTTCAACCAATATAAATTGAAAGCGTACGGTGAACACCGGATTCACTACTACTACTGACTGACTGATTGATTCCATAAGAATTAAGGGATATCAATGAAAGTTATACAGTTTGTGTATGAGTCCAGCTAACGGGAATAAGAAGGCTAAGGGGGGTGGTTTGAAAGAAGAGAGGAGATAGAGTAAGATATGAAATAAGAGATGGATGGTTAGTATTATTCAGAAATCCAATGAGATAAAAATGATTATGCATGGTGTGAATAGTTAAAGTCGTAGCGCTAAGATAGGATTGGATTGACTTATTTTTATACTTCTCTCTGATTGGTAAATGATAAAAATGTACTCACTAGTAGCTGCTGGCTTCATGTAGAAATTCTCGGCATTCTTGTGACAAGCTATGGCCAGTGAAGTTCAACTATGTCAGATGTGAGGAAGTTACCTATCGAAGACAATTGGTGAGGTTGCGCAATAACTTGGATTGATTGGTGTTAGACAATCACACCGATGGATGCCAACTAAGAGAAATAAGTGTTTGCAGGCAAGACCGAAGGTCCTAAAGAGTCGTCGATGCGCAACACTGATGATGATTCACTTACTAGGACGGAACACTTGTCCAGATTTTTAACGGTGATATCACTATGATCGATTCATAATTTCACCAAAACTCAATAATCTCCATCACTCTATCATGTAACAAATTTCGAAGACATATTTTTTATTTACAAACATTATTAGCACATGTGGATGGTTTCATTCTATTTGGGATTCAATTGTAGCTGGATGTATCTGCCATATAGTTGATGTTTACTGCAGTACTCAAACGCAATACCCGAACGTTCTACTGCCGGTCCCAAGCCCGGGTAAAGGAGGAGGGTTTGACATGGTGTTGGCGCCCCAATCGCAACTAAAAACTAACTTGCCAAAAAAACGCTAACCAGAAAAAATAATCCAAACAATTTTCACCCTGCCCTGGGAGTTGGAAGAAGAATTATGACGTCGTGTGATGAAAGCCGAGTTCCTTCGGAAGTCACGGGGCCGATGCCTCTTCTGACAACCAGACCAACCATTCTTTTAGGTACATGGAACGTTCGCACATTGTGAGAGACTGGAAGACTATTTCAAGTTGCGGCAGAAATGAAAAGATATAACCTCGAGGTGCTCGGCATCAATGAAACGCGTTGGACACAGGTAGGGCAACTGAGACTAGCTTCAGGGGAACTGCTGTTATACTCTGGTCATGAAGATGAAAATACTTCACATACAAAAGGAGTTGCACTGATGCCGTCCAAACATTCACAAAAGGCACTGATAGGATGGGAATCTCATGAACCCAGGATCAGTAAAGCATCCTTCAAAACAAAGAAAGAGGACATTACAATGAACGTCATCCAATCTTATATACCTACCAATGACTACAATGACGACGTTAAAGATCAATTCTACGAAAGGCTGCAGTCAATCGTCGAGAAATGTTCACCAAAGGATTTGACGATTCTTATGGGAGACCTGAATGCCAAGGTTGGAATGGACAACACTGGATATGAAGACATCATGGGACGACATGGACTGGGAGAAAGGAACGAAAACGGTGAGAGATTTGCAAACCTATGTGCCTTCAACAAACTGGTCATCGGTGGCACAATATTCCCGCACAAACGCATACACAAAGCCACATGTATTTCACCGGATCACACTACTCAAAACCAGATTGATCATATCTGTATCAACAAAACGTTCGGAAGGACTATGGAGGATGTGAGAACCAGGAGAGGAGCTGATATAGCTTCAGATCACCATTTGCTGGTCGCCAAAATGAAACTGAAGCTAAAGAAGCACTGGACAACGGGACAGACAACATCACACTAGTTTAATACGGCCTTTCTTTGGGATACAGTAAAGCTCAACGAATTCAAGATAGCCCTCATCAATAAGTTCCAGGACTTTCAGGATCTACTCAATGGAGAGGACGCAACATTGGAGAACAGTTGGAAAGGGATTAAGGAGGCAATCACTTCAACATGTCACGAAGTTCTGGGTCACAAGGAATGGATCTCTGTCGATACTCTTGCAAAAATTGAAGAAAGGAGGAACAAGAAGGCAACAGTGAATGTCAGCCGAACAAGAGCAGAGAAAGTTAAGGCACAAGCTGATGTTGTTGTTGATGTTTACTGCAGGATTCAAACTCAGTACCCTTTGCTTCAAACATCATTGAGTTATCTAGCTGGTTACTGAGTCAAGGTACGCACAAGTACGCGTAGCTGACGATCCTTAAATAAGACGAAACGCGCATCTTGCATGCCAGTATTCACCTCTGCTCATTATAATCTTAGCTTCGTTTTTTAAAGGAATAGTCAAAATCAACATTATCAAAGAATGAATAAGGCTTATAGTAAATCAGATTATAATGTGTTTTAGTTGTTAAATCAATTTACTAGTTGAAATGTCCAAATTATTGACAATTTAATCTCTCAATATTCGTTAAATATGTTTTGCTTTGATACATTTGAAATCGTCAATCAATCATTGTTAGACCACCATTAGAAACCTGGAATGGTATGTGTCAAAACGCGAACCTCCAAAACTGTGCCCCAAAATATCGTAACAGTGCTCAGTAGTGACTAGCTTCGTGAGGGAATTCTCGGAGTTCTAGTTGAGAAGACGTGACCAATGGAGTTCAACCCTGTCGGGTGTAGGCAGTAACTACCAAAGACAAATGGGTGAGGTCGCGCGAAATCCCTAGATCAATCAGAGTTAGACATTAACACCGTTGGATGCCGGCCCAGTGGTCCGACGGTAAGGCGTTCGCCTACAATGTCAAAGGTCCCGGGTTCGAATCCTGCGAGGAGCAGGAGTCGTGGATGCGCACTGCTGACGAGTCCCATTCCAGGACTAAACGGCCGTCCAGTGCTTCCAGGTTTCTAATGGTGGTCTAACAATGATTGATTGATGATTTCAAATGTGTAAAAACGCAAATCTCTAAAACTGTGTCCCAAAATGTTTTGTTTTGTTTTAATCTTCCTTTAAATGTTTTTTATTTGTTCAAAATTCAATTTTTTTCTATCAAGTTATTTATTGAAATTTCAACAAAATATTCACATAAGTTTCAGTCAACTTTGAAAGTCCTCATAAAACTAACTATACATAGATAGAATCCATATCTAATGGGTTAGAGTTCGATATTTCAGTTTGAATTATTGTGTATAAGAATATAATAGTGGATTCAGGTCTTCATCTATTTGACGAAGCGTATTTACCAACTCAGTGGAGTAATAAAATAAGTTTGAGTATATGAACTGTTGACTATTAGTTCACTTGTCTTTACTGTAATATGCCACTTCTGAGAGACTTCGGTAAGTTCATTGTTCTATCAGAGTGGGTTTGGATTGAGGTAGTTGTTCAACTCCCCCGACCGAAGCTGCTACCTTGACGTGGTGGTCTAGCTTGCCTATCGTGATGACCCAACCGAGCTATATTGGCTGGAACATATGTTCCTGAAGGTTCTATCATGCCAGGCAGGTCGGTTGGAGAACGATGAGACTAAAAGCAGCAACTCAAGGTCTGAGGGCGAAGTCGTACTGCTGACTGTGATGGAGGGGTGTGACAGCAGTAAGGTGTTTCCCTCGGACAACCAGCATCTGCAGCGATGCTGTCTTCTCACAAGGAAGGAAGGGTTAGAAAAGGTCGACCCTAAAAATGTCACACCTCCCCTACCTCACGGATTTCCATCTCCTTGGGTAAGGGTGCCCACTAAGGGCTTTTAAGAGCTGAGCTAACACTCAAAAAACGTCTCATAAAAATGCCGTGCGTGACCGGCCTCAAGCAGTTGTCCCTTGGGCTCTGCGGTCACGCTCCCAGGTCGTTGAGACCAACACTAATCTATCTTCCTTTTCAGGTTCCTCAAGAAACAACCTTCCAGGGTATGGGCAGCCGGGAAGTGATAACCGCCCTCATACCCGTAACAGCACACTGAGTTGTTCAACTCCAACCTTCAGTATAAGTGAGAAGTGAGTCTGTGAACTGATTGAAACTGATTATGTTTATAGATGATTAGTGATGACCTGATACAATCATATATGTTTAGTACAATATGGTGTTCATAGAATTACACATTTAAGTGAATTTCTGGCCAATAATAAGCAATTAACAGTTGAAAGTTAGCAGTTCAGGAATCGATAGTTGGTCGGTCTTCATACTTCTCAATGCATATTATAAGTCACCGGGATATTTTAGTTTGTACCTTATAAAGTGATACTTCGTAAAACGTTTCTATTACTTACTTACTTACTTACTTACACCTGTTAACCCCGATGGAGCATAGACCGCCAACTAGTTTTCTTCAACCAACTCTGCCCTCGCATTCCCTTTCCAGTCCTGTCCAATTTTTGTTCATTCTCATATCTTTCCCTATTTCTCGGCGTAATTTGTTCCTTGGCCTTCCTCTTTTCCTTTTGCCTCCTGTCCTATCAGAAAGACCAATGAATTGGGTTTAACAGGTAGAATAAATTCTACTTTCGTTTGGAAGTTTACATTACAAATCGATAAGATTTCGTCGGCCGATATACACCAGGAAGCTCTTGATAGTTCTTCTGTCCTAGTATGGTAGTTCTCATTAGTTGACAACCACTATAACACAGGAAATTGGACTGATAGTATTCAACTTTCA